AACATTGAAAAATGTTGCCCCGCGCTGGGTCATAAAAAAAAAGGTGTCCAACTTCCCCATTTCGCTTTGTTTTGTTCCCACCCCTTGGAAAAACCGAATGCCCAATACCGAATACCAAATACCGAATACCCAAAATGACAAACAGACGCGGCAAATAAATAACGTGGCATATTGTGTAGGGGGCGTAATGCCACATAGCCGGGGGTATTACGGATCCCCTGGTTTCTACCCACTTAAAACAAAACCCCCGGGCGAGCGACAAATTAACACGCCAGGCCGCGATAGTCGAAAGTCCGGGAAATACGGGAGCTTCGTGGGGATCTATTTTAAGACTCGGGGCAGACAACTCAGTCGCCTGATCCAGTAGTAGTCCACACCATTCCATCCTATTCCATCCCCAGTCGCATCCATGTAGCACCTTTATTAATTGCAGTCGACGAGACGAGCGTTTGACATGTTTAATGCGAAAATCTCGGGAGAAGCAGGGAGAAAGCAGTGGGAGAGTGTGCACTGAGAGAAATTTCTGTACCCCTAATGTAACTGATAAAGCTAGAGACCATTTTCAGAATTTGTACTATTATTTTTCTACTGTACTGAGTAGTTGTATGTATTTGTATGTATATAAATAACAATAATGTTTCAATGAAAAATATAAATTATTATTTTATTTTACATATATGAATATTTTGCTTTCGGAAAAAATCAAGATTTCTTATTTATACATTGTATGTATATGTGTTAAGTTAAATGCAGTGTTAATATTATTTTTGAAATAATAATATATTTATATTTTTATTTTGCTAATACGTTATATAGGACAAAAATAAATAGATAATAAATAATTATATATTTATAAAATAAAAAAGATTAGCATGTATTCTTTTGTTGTAAAAATCATTTGAGTAAAAGCAAAACAAACATTTTAGTGGCTTGCTTAAAATACTTGCTAAGTTTTTAAAATGTATAAATATTATATTATAACATTTATTTATATTTTAATATATTTATATAAGTCTCTGAGGATTTTTTCCCACTGCACACCGCTTCAAAGTCCCGTTTAAAAGATTGAGGGACATTCATAGTTCTATTTTCGTAAACAGAATGCCAGAACGTCTCTCCCCATCGCAGGCGACGTTGACATAGGCTGGAAATTCTTGTGACTCTGAATCTGATTCCGATTCTGACTCTATCTATTTCGGTTGCCGACGAGACAACTCAGCATTAAATAGCATATATAGCACATAGCACATAGCACATAGCACATAGCACATCGCAAACTGCAGACGCTGGATTGCAGACTGCATACTGCAGGCTCAACACTGAATATCGGTGGAAAAGACAGCTGACGCCAGGCCCGAGGGCAAAGTCGAATACGTAATGCCATGTGGATCTCTATTCCCCGATCGAAGGGACTCAGTTCGCATGTCTGACTCGATCTTCTTCCCTTTGTTTCCTTTGTCTGCTGCCCTGGCTGTAATTTTACAAAAAAAGGGGGAAAAAGCGGCGATGGGGTCGTCGAGAAATTCCACAAAATTGGATCTGAATGAAAGTCTTTTTTTAAAACTCCATTCACGTTTTTAGCAGGGACTCTATGATGGAAACTTCTTTAAATACGATTTTTTCAAACAATAATTTAAAGCAAATATTTGGTAGGCTGTTCAAAGTTTTTCAATGTAAAGGTTCTTAAATTCAATTAAACAATTAGACCAATAAATATAAATAAATCATAAATGTTAAAATATATGTCTTTAATGTCTTGCATCAACGAATATATTGAATATTGTTTAATAAAGAATTTAGTTTCCGTCAAGAGATAAAGTTTTATTTTCGTTTAGAAATACCAACAGATAAAGTTTGATATTAAATGCAGTATAAATGTATATAAATTTAAAATTTAATGACACTGCATTTGGCTTCTTAAGTGTCATTTTCTGTGTATAACCAAGATATCCCAGAGTTTGGCATCAATTATGCAACTCTGTATTGCCCACCTTCTTTTGGTAGTTTTCCAAGCCACTAAGTACACCTTTTTCCTCTTCCTCTTCCCCCCGCTTCCACTTCTTCATTCATTTGCGATTTCCATTAAAATGTCATTGAAATTTCACTTACAAAAATTTCCCTTCAAAAACCAAACCGAACTGGAGCAAATAAAAATTGAGTAGATGGAAAAACGGAACTGAGTTTTGTATTGTGGTGGAGAAGTCGGTGGAAAAGTGGTATTAGTGGGGGTTGGGCGGTGGTTTTTGGGTTTTTGGGAAAAACTTTAGCTGGCAATTCTATTGCCAAACGCATTTTGCACTTCAATTGCACGTGAAAATGAAAATGGAAGGGGTGGCGTTGGAAAAGACTGCTGTGAAAAACTGAAAAATTCAAGCCTGTTAATATGCGTAAGTGTGTGAGGCAGGTGGGTGGCTTGAGTGGGTGGGTGACTTGAGTGGGTGGCATATCTGGCAAAGAATCCTGGCGTGAAGTTGTCTCTTTATTTTTCTTCTCAGGCTTCTGGCGCTGTCATTGATATGGCATTCTGTAGCCACGCAGACCGACTGAGTTTTTCCCAACATATACCCCCCCCAGAATTTTCCTCCCCTCCCCATTCCCCCCTTGAATTTTCCCAGCCACCCAGCTCTCTGGCCTCACCTTCTTTCGTTGTCGTTTTGTCGCCTGTTGTTAATTGTCATTGCGTCGCTTTAAGCCGCTCAGTGGCAGGAAAATGGGAAATGGAAGGTGAAGCAGTGGGTGGGTGGGTTGGCAAAATCAGGGGGGTGGTGGCGGATAAAGTGAATCAAGAGGACGGCCAAGAAGCAGCCAAAGTCTATCACACATACTCTTGCCAAAAGTCATTCAAAATCTCTAGAAAAATATAGAAGTTTAAGAAATTTTGAAAATTTATTGAAAAGCAGTACATAATGCAATAAAATTTAAGATGCAGTGAGCTCTTGAGTACTTCAAACTTAGAAGAATTTGGCAATGAAAACTTTTGGCATTATTAACATTTTATGACATTTTAAAATTTTTTTTTAGCAATCTATGAAATTGGTAACTGAAAATTTAAATAAAGACCCGCATTTATGCCATATTTTTTTAAGGCTACTTAAGGACATGAAGCTGGGCTTTAATTAATTGCTTTAAAATCACTTCAAAAGTATTCTTTTCCTGGTTTTTTTTTAGTTAGCAACATATATATATTTTCTCAATTTAGCCAAAATTTGTACTTTTTGAAGACGATTGAAAGAGAACAATACCCATTTCGGTGTGGATAGTTTTTCCTTCAGCCGTTGTTGTTATAGCCGCTGTTGCTGTTTTCACGCGCGGTTAGCGCCTGTAATTGCATTGCCAAGTAAACGACGAACCGCGAACAGTGAGCGACATTCGTATATGTCTCTCCATGGGAGTGCCTCTGCATGTGAGCGTTGCACGGAAAAAAATTACTTAATATATAATTCTTTACGTACATTCTTGCGTTTTAATTGTACAAAAAAATACCACAAAAATATGATTAAAAAAAAAAAATATAAAACATTTCATTAACAAAATTTTTCTCTTTGATGATCCTATTTTTCAACTTTTTGTATATGTATAATAATAATTTTATAATATTATTATAAGATTGTTTTTTTTTTCTTAGTTTGTAAGAACAACATTTAATTGTATTGTCCTGTATTTATGATATGATGATTATAATTTGATTTTTTCAAAATAATTTTATAAAACATCAGTGCTTTGCTTTCAGTGCATCGTTCGTGCGTATGTGTGTGCGTTGGCGTAAGTGAAATTTATTTCAACAGCCCCCGCCAGGCATTCAGCCCCAAAACTGTCGGTTGGCCAACTTAGGCGAAAAATTGAGAAGCAAGGCAGCAGAGCAGCATCAACGGCAATAGAATGAAATGAGGCTGGCAAGCGGGGGTTAAGTAAGCGGGGCTAAGAGGGGGTTAAGAGGGGGAATGGGAATGGGAATGGGACTGGGAATGCCCCAATAGGGGGCGCCATCTGCGGCACACTGGCGCCAAAGTGATGGAAACCATTCCGAATGCACAATCTCACAGCGGTTGATCTCAAAAAGTAAGAGATGCAATTTAGAGCGAAAAGCGTTAAGGGGGGGTGCATAAAAGTGCCACAGCGGCTTATGGGTTAAACTTTGTATTGTGTAAAAATACTTGCCACATAATGCAAGTGTTTCGAGCATGCGTCCTTCTTTTATTTGTAAGCATGCATTAACATTCTCATTTATATTAAGATTGTTTTGGCATGGACCTGCTTTTCAGTTCTATTATTATTTAAACTCTGGATATAGTAACCAAAATATGTTAATAGTATTAAAATTTATTTAAAATATTAAACTATTAATGCTTACACCAAACTTTTTCCCACTTTGCTTTTAAATTGAATACACAGCATGGTAAATAAAATACTAAATACAAAATATAATAACTTCAAATATTAGCTTAAATAATGGTTGAAGAAATATAACAATAATTTAACATTTCCAAAGAAGCATGAAACACCCAAAATTTCGAATTGATCTTATGATATTATCAATTGAAGATTGATTTTACCTATTTTCCGTCAAAGCCCCATTAACCCACTGTGCCCCCAAACCGAAAAACCACCAACTGATGCTGCATCTCAGCGTGTTTCTGTTGCTGATTTTAAATTTTAATTAAAGTGCGACTTCTCGGTTTTCTTGGGCCTTTCGGTTTTGGGTTTTGGGCTTTGGGTTTTCGGGCTATGGGTTTTGGCTTATTTTGCTGTGACCACTTGAGGTCCACGATCCGCGGCTAAAAGCAAACAATGGCCTACAAGTGCGGGCACTTCTTGACACGCTCTTGCCACTCGAACCCCAGGCTATTGGCACTGGCCATTGCTTGTGGCGCCTGGGGCCACAAAGTGCGAAATAAAGAAAGGCTTTCTAAAATCACCCAGCATTCCGTGTTCCATTAAAAACCGATGAGCGAAGAAAGCGTCAACTCATGGTGGGCTATAAAAGTGGCAATGATCTGGACATGGGCACACACAGTCTGCAAGACCATCGTCCAGAAATGATCAACGCGATTCTAGTGCTCTGTCTGCTGGGCAGTTGGCCCTCGGCGATGGTTGCCCAAAATGTGGACAAGGAGGTGGTGGTGGCCAAGGATCCCGCCACCCGTTTGGCCGGCATTTACGTCAAGGATGGCAACGAGAATGGCCAGCTGCGGTTCCTGGCCTCCGGCCTGACCAGTGGCAGCACCAGCAGCACCTCCAACACGGGTCTCAATTCGGCCCTCAACCAGTACATAACCAATAAGCAGGACATGCTGGAGCAACTGCGTCCCACGACGGCCATTGGAACGGGGACATCGTTGACAAGTGGAACTGGAACGGTCACGGGCTCAACGACGGGAACAACTGGTTCGGGTCTGGTTACAACCACCGCCAATGGGGCCATCTATGTGAATCTGGGCAACTCGGGCACCTCATCGTCGTCATCCTCGTCCTCATCTTCATCCGCCACGAACGCGGCCATCAACCAGGTGATCTATGGCTCATCACCGATCGCCAGTGTTTTGCCGCAGATCGTTGGCCAGGCGGTTAACAGTCGAGTGCGTCCCGGTCAGAATAATAACAACAATATCAATAGGAGGCGTGTGCCCGCCCGTAGGCGTCGGGTCAACAAGAGGCGTGGCAGCATCAACAACAATCAGCGACGTCGGCGGCGTGGCAACAATCGGGGCAAGAATAAGGCCCAAGTGATGGTTGTTCGCCCAAATCGCGGTTAAACATAACAGAAAAAAAAAAAAAACAAAAACATTCCCTAGTTAAGCAACCATAACACTCTTTTTTTTTCGAAGGCCTAGCTATTTTTTTTTTTAATGATTACTATTAGTATGCGAGATGGCAACTTAATTTATTTATTTAAATAATTGAAAGCAATTACACTGTGCAACCAAAGTGGTTTTATTTTGGGTTATGGGCTCTTATAGAATATTCAAATTTTTCAGAGCAATATATTGGAGAAGAGTACACATAAATATATTGCAATTGAATTAAATATATTTTACTATAAAGAATTAGTATCGATGAAAAATATCACTATTGTGACAGTTGCTTAAATGGTAACAAAAAATTAGTTTTTGGTTATTGAAAAATTTTGTGAAATATATTTTTGTCTACTTTAATAAATAATAAAATAAAAAAATATCGATATTTATGTAAAGTTTGATTATCTAGAATCTCATCCAAAAATATTCGGAGCTTTATTATTTATGTTAGAGCACAGAAAATCGCTGTATAACATTTTAAATAAATATTTTACCTTTATGTTTGGGAAATATCACCAAATTTGTATAGCCGTTAAACATTTGAATTGTTTTATTTAACATATAGTAGTTAACTTGGGTCTGCAATAGTCCTTATTATATTCTAAGTGATTTCAAATGTCATGGAAAATGTAAAGTTATAAATCACTGCCCGGCGTTCTACAGAAAATTTAAATAAAATCTTTTTAAATAGGTATTCTCTTACCTTTAATTTATAATAGTGTATTGCAACACCTCAGCTGCGATGGGAGAAGCCTCAAATTTGTGCAGGCCAGTGTGGGGGGCTTGTGGCACTAATTTATGGGCCAACTGGTGTTCATGTTCAGGGCTTTCATTCAGGGGAGCAGCCCCCCGTTGGTGAGCCCCTGGTCAAGTGCAAGACAAACGGTCTCCGGTCGTCGGTCGACCGGTAGTCTCTGCATGCGGCGGTCAATGTCTTGATAAATGTCTGCCGACTGGCGCCCGGGGAGCAACCAGCACAGTCCAAAGCAACCCCCCTTCCGCAATTCGCCATTCGCCATTTGCCGCCACCCATGCCCATGCCGTCGTGGCCATTTCGCGCCCCCCCTAAATCACCGTCACGTGTCCTGGCTGTGCATTATGTGCTCATGACTGTAATGAGCCTGTAAGTGGACCTAATCAGTGTCATAATAATAGAAATTAATCACTGCAAGGCCACGGCATGGGTGGTGAGTTGAAAAGGGGCGGTTCGGTTCGGTTCGGTTCGATTCGATAGTCCAGTGGCAGTTTCCACCTTCAGCAGTTGGCAAAAGTCAAAGTTGAAGCTTGGCACAAGAACACAACCAACTGCTGGCATTTGTGCTCTCGTGCGGTTTTGTGCAGCGCTTTGGCGCATACTTTGTAAATGTTTTGCAATGATTTGATTTGAAATTCATTTGAATTATTGCTTGCTTCCGGTTTCCGGTGCCTTCGAAATACTTTCCTGTTTCCTTTCCCTCTCCCCAACCACTCCTCCACTGCTCCACAAACGACCCACCCATGGCGAGGATATGGAAGGACCCTATGATGTACGACCAACTTGGTTGGCCTTCTCTTTGCGTCTCTCCCTGGGGAGTTTATTAAGTACTGCCAAGTATACACTCGGGATAAATTAAATTGTGATTGTATTATATTTGAAACTGTCTATTCTATTCTATATATTTATATTTTGTGGAACGTTAAAATTGCTTTAACAAATCCATACATCAGTGTTTATTATTAAAAAGTTGTTTAAACATCTAAATGATGAATATTTCATTTTATAAATTTAATTTTGTTAGTCTTATAAACCAAGTTAGTATTTAAAGTAGTAGTAGATTTTGTTAAAAATTAGGACATTTTTTTTTTAAATTTATTTTATTAATAGTAATAAGGTAATGAGTAAAATATAACTAGGCTCCGGTTTATTTCTTATTAATAAATGATGCATTAAAAGTTATTTAAATGGCCAATTTCTCGCAGTGCATTTGCATAGACCAAACGGCAACTGGTGTGTGAGTGTGCGGAACTTTGTTAATATGCAAGTGAATGGACATTTCCGGTACGGACAAAACGTGCCATGTGCCAGGCCAAAAACCGAAAGCCAAGGTCCTGGCCAAGCCCGCGAAGCCATTTGGGGGAAAATCGGTAGCTGGCGGGGATCGGGGGTTTGCAGGGTTTGCAGGGTTTCCAGGGTTTCCAGGGGGGTGGCACAGGTTCACAGCCCAAGGACATGTGCTAAAAGTCCACATCACCATGCGCTGCCCTTGGATCCATTCGCTGGCTCTCTTTGCTCGGATACATTTCGCTGCCCTACAAAAATGCTACTTTTCAATGAGTCGGAAAGCTAACTCAAGGAGGTTGCCTTACCAATTATATATTTGGGCTTGAAAATCAACACTTCCAGAAGTGGTTTTTGAATAAACATTATTTAAATACAATACAATGAGACATATTTAAAATACGAAAGTCTGAAGCTTTATGGAAAACTAAATATAAGGGACTAAAATATTTTAATAATTTATAACAATTTTACTTGTTCAAAGTATATTTCCTTAAATTTGAATACATAATTAAGAAACACTAATACTCTCCAAACTAAATAGCTTTAAATGTTAAATGTTAGGGTTTATTATAGGGTTTATTTTCAATATAGTTTAACTTTATCTAAGCACAGTAAAGACTTTAAGGGCACTAACAAATTATTTGTAATTTAATCTCTAATTTTATGTAGCTTAAAGGGCATTGAAAAGTCGGCCATTCGACATTAAACGCTTATTTTTTGCTTTTGCCAGTTCCTTGGCTTCGCTCATGTGTAATTTTCAATTAAAATGATTTGAGTAGACAACTTTGAACGCTTCTGGCTGTGACTCTGCCACTGACTTGGCTTTTGATTTGGATTCGGATACGGATACGAGCTTGTGGACCTGCGAAGAAGGGCCACAATATTCGGAGGGGCATGCCACAAATACTTTTTGGTTTTCGGTTCGGGGCAGGAACCATAAATCATGCAGCAGGCAAAGACACGAACCGCATTGGAAATCGACAAAGGAGACCCAAACTCCGGCGTTGACACACGGACATCGTGGGATATATAGTATGGCATATCCGAAAATATATAGAAATGTATATGTTTGTGTGTGTGTGTGTGTGTGTATTGTGCATAAAGTATAAAGCACACAGTATACAGTGTAGCAATGGCCGGCCAACTAAGTGGGCCACAAGTTTCGCTTCACTTTTGAAATAGTTGCAAAGTGGAAAAGTTTGGCATGCAGAGTGTCCACGTCTGTGGTCAGGAAAGGGCATAATTGTGGGGCGTTCTCCGGCGGATCGGGGAATCGGGGCATCCGGGAATCCCAGAATCCGGGCGTCTGGGAGTCGAGGAATGAGTGCGTGAGTCACGTGCCAGGAAGTCCCGGGATTGGCCGAGATAATCAGGACACTTGGTGCCGCAAACTGACGGTGGAAAGGCCAAGGAAACAGATGAATCAAATTATTATTATTATTATTATTATTGTACTTTAAAAATGAATTCTAAATGTAATATTACCTAAAGCTAACGTTTCAATTATTTTTTACTTAATTTTTTGTTAAAAGCGTTTTTCTTTCTTTGAAAATTCTTGGTGGCCCCTTTATGGTATATTTCTATTTTAAGTTTAAAATAGTGCCATTAATCTAAATAAAGTTATTTTCTTAACTTAGCTTGTCAATTTTATTTTTTAAATATTTAAAAAGTGGTATTGTGTTAATAATAATTATTGGTAGAAATATAGTTTTCGTTTAAAAAATGATTTAAATTTATTTTTTTTAATTTTATATTTGTTGAAACTATGCGATTTCTAGTTAAGAATTTAAACAGTAGCATTATGTTAATAATAAATATTGGTGAAAATATAGTTTTTGTTAAAATTTATTCATTTGCTACATTCTAAAATGACGATATATTCAAGTTAGTGCTCATCTAAAAAAATAAAGTAATTTATTTGAATGGATACATGATTAAACTTATCAATTAAGCATGGTCTGCTTGTTTTTGAAAGCTTGAAAAGTTGCAAAGTATTTGCTATACTTAAAGTGATTGTATTGCAATACATTTCTAAAATTTACTTGTAACACCTACCTTAAATGTTTCTCTACCCTGTTTTATTTCTTAAATTTACTTACTATACTAAATTAGCGTCGTGAGTCACGTTGCCATTTCTGATAGCTGTTCGAATTTGGCCTTTTATTTTTGGGCCAAGTGGCAATGCAGCAAGATGTAAGAAGCGATGAAATTCTGCGGCTCCTCTTCTTTTTTACCCATTCTTCAGCGCTGTCTGTCGATATTTCACGAATTCTTTGACTTTTTTGTTGTATCCCTCAAACGAATGGTCAATCGACATGGCAACAACAATCGTGGCTTAGTTTTTTAACCTCCCCCCTAAATTCGATTTTTGTTGTTGTGTAAATTTCTTGTATTCCGTTGGCTTTTAATTGCCGTGACGTGTTTGTTCTACTGGCTTTTTTTTTCCTGTGTCTTTTTGCTTGTTGTTTTTTGTGCTTGGTTTTTGGCCACTTGACGTTTGATTTACTTAGTACTTTTTCGGTTGCTCTACAAGACCAATTGTAAGCCAATTTTCAGTGGGTTTTTGATTTTTTTTTTTTTTTTTGTTTGGGGAGGGAGGCAAGGCCTTCACAAGTAGCGACCTTGTCGTTTTTTTTGCCTGTTTCGCACACTTGTCAAGTGCTTTGCTCTGCGGTTGTTCATTGCTTTTTTTCTAAGCTTTTGTAAAGTCTATTTTGCTCTGGTTTTGCTTGAAACATTACCGGTGATTGATTGATAAATGATTTGGCGAATTAATTGCTAAAAAAAAAGCGTACACACTTATCAAAGCCATGCACACATATCTTTCATTTGATAAATGTCGCTTTACAAAATTTTTACTTTGAGACACAAAAAATTGTCCAGCTGGCAATTTAAATTGAACAAAAATTGGCAAAAAAGCATTCAAGAATTTAGATTTATGGGACTTTAAATCGAGATAAGTGAATAACTGCTCA